AAGTCACTAGGATTATAGATTTGAGTAAACTGGCACTTAGCTATAGAGAACTTCTTGCAAAGAACATATAAGTCTTCCTTCTGTTTTTAAAATCTTATCTGACAATCTTTGCTTTTTAATCAAATATTATCCAATTTTAATTTGTATGACACTGCTATTATTGAGATTAATTCTATCATCTGTTTTTAAAGTTTCAGTGTTCTTTTTTCCTTTTTTGGTTTAATTGAGTATTTTTAGTAATTTCTATCACCCTTATTGGATTTTTAGCTATCCTTTTTTGTGTTTTTTTTAGTGACTGCTGTAGTGATTGTAATAGTCACCTTTATCTTATCACAGTCTACCTTGAGTCAATATTATTCTACTCCATATACAAGGTAAGAATATTACAACAGTGTAATTCCATTTTTCCTTTCCTGTCTGCTGTAATTATTGCCATATATTTTACTTCTACATGTTACAAACACACAATACATTATTACTTTTAACTTGGAAAAAGGACAACTTTCCTATAAGAAAATAAGTAAAAATATTTATAAACATATTGACAATATCTTGAGATCTGAATTTTTTCTTAAAAGTAGGATTCCATTCTGGTATGTTTTTTTCTTTAGCCTGATGATTCAAAAATATTTAAAAGAACTGCACTTTTCAATTTTGGTCATAGATATATTTATGACCATTTATATATCTAAAAAGTAGTTTTAGCATTATATCTGTTTCTTTATAATTAGAGGATATTTTTGCTAAAAATGTGCCCTAAATTGACAACAGTATTCTAGTAATTTGACAAGGTGATTTCCTTTTATATTGGCTTTTACTGTTTAAAAATTATCATTTTATTCTTTCTCTTTTAAACGCAGTAAGTTTTTATTCTTTCCTCTGATTTTTTAAGTAGACATTTTTTTAGTTTTTGGATTTAGTAACTTTAGTATTATGTACTTCAATATCAAGTTTAGTTTTATAGATTGTGAATTATTGATTCACTAACTAGCTTTGTATTTTTCCTTACTTTTATAGTTTCCCACTGTTTTTATTGGCTTTTGGATACTGTGTCACTCTGTCTTCTGTTTTGAGGCATTTACTTTGATTACATTATACTCTTCAGTATGCCCCTAATTTTATTTATTCAGCTCTGTATTATATATCTTTGTATCTCTTTTGATATTTCATTTCACTAATTCCTTTTTTAGATGTTTGTAATTTGCTTTAAATCTGTTCCAGTTATAATATATCCTTGGCTTCTCAGACTTATTTAACAGACTATTGGTTATGTATGGTCTCAGAAAGATAAACTTCTATTTCTGATGATTGGAGCTGGGGTCTTCAAGGATTTGAATGGTCTAGGGTTCTCAAATAGTAGTCTTTAAGAAAAAGAATGTTTTGTTTTCCACCCTAATACCAGTACTACATTGTGCTCATTATTGTGTCTTTGTAGTTGGGTTTTAAACTGGAAATTGTCAGTTTTCCAAGTTTATTTTTTCCTTTCCAAGACTGCTCTATCTATTTGAGTCCTTTGTATCTCTCATTTTAATTCTAAAGTCTGCTTGCCTATTTTTGGGAAAAAAATTATTGAATTTTGGTTGGCGTTGCATTGAATTTGTATGTCAATTTGATTTGAGTTATTACTAGCAATTTTATTTTCAGATCCGTGAACACAGGATTTATTTATTTATTTATTTGTTTATTTATTTATTTTTAGTTGGTCATGGGTCTTGAACTCTGGGCCTGGGCGCTGTCCCTCAGCTCTTGAGCTCAAAGCTAGCACTCTACCACTTGAGCACCACTTCTGGTTTTCTGGTTGTTAATTGGAGATAAGAGTCTTATGGACTTCCTTTACCTGGGTTGGCTTTGAATGGTGATCCTCAGATCTCAGCCTCTTGAGTAGCTAGGATTACAGGCATGAGCTACTGGCTCCCAGCTCAGGATTTATTTTTATTGTTTTAGAAGTATTTTTAGTGTTAGCCCTGCCCTGACTTTTATTAGTTAAATGTGATTATAGGGATTTTGTGTTTTATATTTTTCAATGATATTGCCAATGGAGCTTTTTCTTAAATTCACTATTATTCTATCCAAGTGTATAGAAATACAGTTATTTCTCTATAAATGATTGTTGTTAAAACACCATTTAACTAATTTATTAATAAAAATAAATTCTTGTAGAGTTTAGCACTAGCTATTTTTAAGACCATGTGATCTGCAAATAGTTTTCCTTCTGGAATTTGTCTTTTCTGTATGCTTCTTAGTATTGAACTCTGGGCCTTGAACTTGTAGTTCATGTAGTACCACTGAAGTGATACCTTGAGCCCTTTTTCCATTACTTCTATTTGAGATAGGGTCTCTCTTTGTGCCAGGGCTACTTTTGGCTTCAGTCCTATTTGTGCTTCCCTGTGTAGCCTGAAATAACAGGCACACACCACTGCACACAGACATTGGTTTAGGTAAAGTCTCATGAACTTTTATGACTGAGCTGGCCTCAATGTAAGATCTCTTCATTTCTTAAGTAGCTAGTATTACAGGCTTAAGCCACTGCATGCAGCAGTTTTTTCTGTTTAATTTTTACCCAAATGTCTTTTTTTGTTTTGTTTTGTTTTGTTACCTATTTTCCATGGTCAGATTTTCCTTTTCATAATTTCCTCTAGTACCATGATGAATAGAGGTGATAAGGCAGGAAATTTTTATCCTATATGTTTTATTCTTGTTAGAATAGTTTTTGACAGAGGTTACAGTTCATAGCTTCACTTCATGAAAATGGTTCAGTTTAGCTCTCTTCTTTGAAGACAGAAGTATTTATATATTTTGTCCTTGCTGGATTTTGAAACCCATGCTTTGTAGTGCTCTTTTGTCTCGTGTATAGTGAAATTTTACTACTTATTTACATTTTGCATTATTGTTTTGAATCTTTGCTTCATTCTTAACCTGTCTTAAGTCTCCTTGTTTTAAGGATTTTTCCTAAAAACTATATTAGATAAATTTTTGTCTTGATTTTCAATGCATTATTGAAATTTAGTGAGAATGTTGATATTTTTAAGTGTTGCACATTTGTTTTAGAAAGTTCACATTTCTCAAAATGATGTACTTAATTTGTATATCAAAGCTTAATTTGGCATTGTGTTTTATTTTGATTTTTTTTGTTTGTGTATCTATAAATGAAGAGCCATCTGGGCTTTCAAACTTAATAGATGCCTTACTTTTAGTTTTATTCATGTTCTATTACTAGAGGTATTGGAACCTTTGCAGTAATAATGAGTCCTGGACAAACTATTTTATATAAACTTACATTACATATTGGCCCAGCATTCTCATAGTTGTGGTTAATGAAACATAATCATAGGCTTACTAGCATATTCTTTCTCTTTTCTTATTTGATAGAACCATCCTGCCAGGGTTCAGCTTTCTGTATAATATTTTTTTTTGCATTGGTACTATTCTAGCTATAAAACTGTCCAGTTGTTTTCTTTGCTAGAAATTTTTCCACAAGTTAGGTCTAATTTATACTAGCTTTCTGTTTGATGTGTCCACTATATGAAACTGTACTGAATGACACTTTCCAGCAGCCATATTGAAGTGCTTCCCATTGATGTGCTTCCCAACTGCCTTGTGCTCTAATCTTTGTCTTCAGATTTTATATCATTGGCACAGGGAAAGTGGACAGACTGATTTTATTTTAACATTCTCTTTTAATTTTGAAAGATACTGTAGGTTACTACTGTCTAGTTTTGTTTGTGTAGCTAACACTAAATGTGCCCATTTCTGGCACATTTCTCTATTATTTCAGTGGAAATACATGAAAAAGATGTTAAATATAAGAGCTAATATCAGCCCTCTTATTCAGAAGCTAAGGCACTTTTTTCTATGATTTTTAAATGGGGTGGGAAATTTTACAAAAGTGCTTATATAATTACCTATTTCTTATTTTGTTTAATACTTTACATACAATGAACACTCAATACATTTTGTTTTTACCTAAGTGAATTAATTAGTGGTATTATAAAGTTGCTACAACCAGTAACAACTTTCTTAAGTATAGTATTAAATGTTAAATTTTTTGGTAATGTTTCTTATAAAAGTAATATAAATTTGTTTTTGATGATGCAGAATAATCTTACTAGGCTGTTTACCATCATTAACTTTCTCATGAAATTAATAAAATTTTTAAACAGAATTGTGACTATCCTAAGTATGTTTTGTACCTTGTTTTAATCTAACATAACTTTTTCTGTTGGCATTAAATCTCCCTTTAATTGTTAAAAATGTAATGTAGTTTTAAAACAAAAATTTTCTCAATTTCACAAAGATGATTTGTTAGCATATATCTATGATACTTTTATCAAGCATCTACCAAACTATGTCAGTATTATTCCAAATTGCCACTGACCACTGAGAGTATGAGTTTCCATATATGAACTTGACCTGAAATTGAGGAATTTTTCTGTAATATCAACATGAAAACAAATAGTAAAAATCTCATTCATCAACACATAAAAATAACCTATATTGTAAATCTGGTTCTAGTTACTTAAAATTTGAGTAGAATTTGTTAATGTTTCAAACTTTTCTTGCCTAAAGAAGATACATATTTATTCAAGTTAATTAAAATAATGTTTTGTTCATTTTGCTATTTTCTCATTTTGTTCATTTTCTTGAAGCAAGAATCTACTGGCATGTATTTTCTGGGTTTATTGATTTTTTTTATTACATGTATATATAATTAAGATGCATTGTTACATTCTTTAAGGATTATTTTTAAGTATTTTCTCTTAGGTATAGTTTTATGTTACATATAGTTTTACATTTTATAAAGGATAAGCAAAACTTAGCACACAGTTTGTTATATGTTATATATATCATTTTGCATTAATGTATTAATCCATGTATTACACATTAAGAAAATTGTAAATATCACATTGATAGAATCCAAAGTTTTAAAATAAATTCTGTGTTTACAACTGTTTTATTTCTTATCATTACTTAGATATTATGTTTTTTGCTGTTTCCTTTAGCTTGCCAATGTAATGGACATAGCACTTGTATCAATACTAATGTGTGTGAACAGTGTAAAAATCTCACCACGGGAAAACAGTGCCAAGACTGCATGCCAGGTTATTATGGAGACCCAACCAATGGTGGACAATGTACAGGTGAATATTTTGTCTTTTACTTTAGTGTTCTTTTAAAAATGAAAATTGACAAAGAGGTACTTGTTGTAGAGACCCTATTTCTTTTTTTTTTTGCTCAATCAGCCAGTTTGTTTCCTGTATTTTTATTGTAAAAATAGTGTATAGAGGGGTTACAGTTGCATGAGTAAGGTAAGGAGTACATTTCCTATTGAGCATTGTTACCTCCTTCTTTGTTTTTCCCCTACCATCCCTTCCCTCCCCACCTCCCCAGCTCCTCCCACCCCGCCAAGTTGTAAAGTTCATTTTCAACATAGTGTCTTGTACAACTCATTGTTACAGCAGGTCAACATATATCTTTATTTCAGCATTTTGTTATTTCCCTTTCCCTCCCCAAATTAGAAAAATGTGTATACAAGATTTAGGGCACCGGAATCAAATACAGTGAAAACAGGGGTTATACCATGGGGGAAGAACATACAAAAGAAACAAAAAAAATCACATAGTACATTATAAGTAGATTAAAAACAACTGCAAGAAATATAAAACCACTTGTGTCTCTATCTTGGGGTTCTTTTCACTTAACATCATCTTATATAGTCATATGTACATAGTTTTTGATCTTTTCTGCTTGTCCTAGACATATACTAGTTATTGCAAATAAGGGAAACAGGAGATAAGCTATGGGACAACATGCAACAAGAGATGCACACATCTATAATTTGGAGACTTTAGTGGTACTTGCTTCAGTGAAAATGAAGAGAAAAATGTCATGCTATGTGGAAAGTTTGTGGTTGTTTTTTTTTTTTAATTTTTTGGTGGTAGAGCAGTACTGGAACCTGAACTCAAGGCCTTACCATATGCTTAACTCTTTTTTACGCAGGGTTAGTATTCTACCACTTGAACCACACTTCTACCCTTTTGCTGGTTAATTATAGATATGAATCTCATTGATTTGTTTGCAGTGGCCTATTTCTAATATAAATATTCAGATTTCAGTATTTTGAGTAGCCAGAATTACAGGCATGAGTTTCTCCCACCTAGCCTATGTCTATGGGTTTTAGGAGCTACCAAATTATTTTCCATAGTGGCTGCAACATTTTGTATTTCTATCAGCAATGCAGATGACCGTTTTGTCACACCCTCACCAACACTTTTTAAAAAATTTATTTGACTCATTTTCATCACAATTAAGTGGTATTTCATTGTATTTTATTTTGCATTTCTGCAATTACTATATGATGTTGAATGTTGTTTGATGTGTATTGGCTATATTTTCTTGGAAAGTAGTCTCAAATACTTCATTCATTAGAAAATTTTTAAAATTGTGGTAAAGTACAGCATCCCATGGAATTATTTTAGCCATTTTAACTTTACAGCTCAATGATACTAAGTTTATTCATTTGTCATGTGCACATCATCACCCTCTTTCCCCCAAAGCATTTTTCTTTTGTAAAACTGAAAACTCATTTGGTTCTCCCTGTCCTAGCTCCTGGCAACCACCTTTCTACTTAATGTCTCTGAACTTGATTGCTTTAAGTATCTCATATGAGAATATCTATCTGTATATGTTTAGAAATATAATATATATTTATACATGTACAGATTATATACATATGTATTTATATATGTTTATATATTTTTTTGGTGACTGGCATATTTCTCTAAGTTTAATATATTTGAAAATTATTCAAGTTGGTAGCATGTATCAGAAAGTCTTCTCTTTTTGAGGCTGAGTAATGTCCCATTGTATGCTTTTACCTACTCATTTATGTAATTTATCTGTTGTTAGATACTTGAATTTGTTCTACCTTTTGGCCACTGTAATTCTGTGAATATATGTTATAAATACTGTCTAGTCCATGGTTATTTTCATGTGTATCTTTCATTTGTGTATCTTTGTTAGAGACATTTTTGTGCTATTTTTTAAATTGTGTTTTGTTTTTGCTGTTTGATTTTAAGCATTTTTTGTATATTGTGGATAGCAGGCTTTTATTATATATGATTTTCATATAGTTTCTCCTATTTTGTAGTTGCCTTTTAAAAACAGAAAAGCTTTCAATTTGGATGATGCCATATTTATTTATCTCTTTTTGTTGTTTAAACTTTTGGTGTTGTACCTAAGAATCTATTGCCAAGTGCAATGCCATGATTATTTTACTATTTTGTTCATATGATAAAATGGAACAGATTTTTAAAATTAATAGGGTAGGTTTTATTGTTCTAACTGGAAAAATGCTTTGAGAAATTTGTTCCCCTTTGGGGATGGTAATTCTATGCTAAATTTAAATTGAGTTCAGTTATTTCAAATTAAATTTTGTTACAGGAATTGCACATAGGCAAGCTATATTACAGTGGATTGTGTTTGGAGCTTGATCATGTGACTGTTGCTTTGCCCACAATGTGTTCACAGATGATGGGCCTCTCATCAGAGCTTCTAGTGGTCCCTAGATCCACAGATACTCTTTGGGCCCTTGATGGACTGTGAAGTTGTGCTGTACAAGGATCTAGTTTATGTTCTGCAGGAAGCAGGCTTGTTACTATGTATTCAGACTGATGTGGCTTCCTTTGGGTTCCTGCTAGATCTATGTGGGGTTCGTTGGGCTGACATTACTGCCCAGTTTGTGTGAGAAAGTATCTAGAAATGAGTCCCAGTGCTGTTCAGGATCAACAGCTGCAGATCCAAGATCTGGAGTAATAGATATGCATGCCTCTTGGATGGATAATTGGAAGACAGATGTACTTTCATCACAGTTGAGTGGGGCTGGTGTACATTGACTGAGCTTTTTAAAGATTCAGAGTAGGACTGAGATAAATGGGTCATCTTGCATGGGGACTGACACACATATACCCCTTCAGATGCCACTGAACTATTCTAACACTGAAACACTGCATCCTAAATCCACAGCCATTTTAGGATCTTCTGAGAACCTAGGTTGGTAAGCCTGCCCTAGGAACTCAAATGGACCTGTCTCCTAGTGGGTGTGTGTTTGAGCAGAATTGTTTCTAACTGCTTGTGCAGAGAATAGAGACAAGTTCCATAGCTGTACTTAGGGTCTGCTGTGGAACTGAGTCTGGGAAGCCTTTCACAGTAGCACATTAGGTGAATCTTCCTTTATCAATGTCCTGGACATGGAATTATTCCTGGTGCATAAGCTGAAATTCAGGGCTTCCAACCAAACTGTCACATGGTTGATGAGTCTCTTAGCAGTCCTTAAGAAGTTTAAATCATGTGGTTATTGGTTTACACTTTTGTCTTTCCCAAAATTCTTCCTATATTTAAAATCTAATAGATAATATAATTATATTTCAGGAAATATAACTATGCTAGGAGAATTTAAAGACAATTAAATCAACATGGCCTACTAACGTCCAGGAGCTAATGTGACATGCATGTGACAGTAGTGATATGATATTGAGAGAATAGGCACATCTTGACTTTGAAACAAGTACTGCCATTGCCTACTCTTTGGTTTCATGTTTATTTCCTTTCCTTTTCTTTTCTTTTTTCTTTCTTTGGGTCCAGTTGTGGGGCCTGAACTCTGGGCCTGGGCGCTGTCCCTCAGCTCTTCAGCTCAAGGCTAGTGCTCTACCACTTGAGCCACAGCACCACTTCCGGCTTTTTTCTTTTTGCTTATGTGGTGCTGAGGAATCAAACCCAGGGCCTTAGGCATGCAAGGCAAGCGCTCTACCACTAAGCCACCTTCCCAGCCCATATTTCCTTTTATTTTCTAAGACTGGGTTTCACTATGTATCCCAGGCTGGCTTTGAACAAACAAGTCTACTACTTTTCCTTCTCAAGTGCTAGAACTACCATGTGTGGTCTGAATTCATGTTTGTAAAGTGTATGTTTTTATATGTAACTTGTTGGTAGAATCTTATGACATATTTTATTTTTATTGTTTAGTTTTGCTTATGAGTTGCTATTACAACTTTACATTGTAGGGGGAGACAGAAATCACATGACCATGTTATGTCTCTCTAGAGTATATTTAGACTATAAAGTCATCATCATATAAAATTTCTCAAACAAAAGGCCACTGTAGGATGATTTCATAGGTGCTTATTCAGCATAAAAACAGTCTCAAATGCTGACAACAACAGAATAATTTAAAAACTGTCATGAAGTATAAATTTAAAACAATTGAATTTAAAATGTATTTGTGCTATTTTACTCTGAAGTATAGTGCCATAAGGGAATTCTCTGAAAATGAGCTCACATAAAAGGTATTTTAATGCATTTTTGTCTCAGAAATTATTAAAGATACTATACAATAATAATTCTTTTAAGAAACTCTGAAAGCATAAACATATCAAGTTCTATAATAAAAGATAAAAATGTTTATCCAGATTTAAAAACATTAATTGTACCTTTTAAAGTGAACTTTTGAATATAAATCATTATTAATTTTAAGCTGTGTAGATTAATTTAAAAAATGTAATGACTTATTCATTATCTAATAAGTTACATATTATCAATATATTTTAATGGCCCTTTATTGATTCAGATTAATTTTTGTTATTTCTCACAATTCCACACCATATCTTTTGTTTGTGCAATTCTCATCATCTTGTATTTGCATAATTAATTCTACAAACAAAAGAATTTATTCACATTTATTTAAATAACTTTTATGAAGAATAAAACCATGCATTTGTATACAAATCTCTTCTAGTAAAAACCAGTCTTCGAAATCTGTTTTGAAACTTACTCTGTATTTGAATGTATTTATATCAATTGTTATTTTCCAAAGAAATAATAGCTAGCAAAAGCTTATGATCTATGTGGTATTTTTTTGTGATCTATATTTTGAACTTAAACCACCTTTTTTTAGGCCTAATACATATATTCTAAAGACCATAATCACAGTTTTATCTTAGAACATTTTCGTCACCCCTCCAAAAAAACCTATATCCATTAGCAGTCACTTCCCTTACTCCTCTGCCTTCTAAACCTGCCTATGACAGATATAGGAAATTGACAATCCACTTTCTAAGAGTTTATTAGTCTGGATGTTTTGTAT